GAGTTTAAAATCCGTCATTAAATGATGTTTTTGAACAACGCTAGCGATGCTAATTTTAAGCTAACAGCTAACGACCGGATGAGTGACGTGTCACGTCACTTCCTCCATGTCGTAAGTAAAGCTTGGTTGAACCGAAAGCTTTGCTGTGCTTAAAATCACTAAATGTAACTTGCCACATGCCCCTAAAACTCATGTTTCATGCAAAAAAGTCGTGCTTGTTGAAAAAACGCCACGTCTACGCTTAAAAACCGTTCAGAAATGTTGATTTTAACCGAGTTTAGCCGAAGCTAACTTTAAGCTAAGCGGCTAAAAACAGGATGTCAACTGAACGTCACAGGAAGTCGTCATAGACTCCTGCTGGTAGAAAGCTAAACACTGCCCCCTCCTGGGAAACTTGAGATCACAGTTTCACTTCAGTTTTAGGTTTTTGAGTGAAATTGAACTTATTTCTTTCTGTAAGGCATTTTTGAGTTAATAAACGCTCCTCAAAGCTGAATAATCACTGTTATCTTGCATTTAAAAAGTAATTAAGGTATTTATGCAAGAAAGGCATTTACCAGGACATTTTTCATTCACTGAATTCCTCAAACAGGAGGTACAAAATGAAAAATTAGAAACTTTTTAAGAGATACGGTTCAAATATTCACAGAGTTGAAAAGTTTACTCATTTGCTTGAAAGATAATACACGTTTAATTGCAAAATCACTAAATAAGAGTAAACTTATCAGGAAAAAGAAACTTTTCTGTTTAAGTTACCACCTAAAAATACATCTTCCTATTTAATTTTAAATAGAGGATGAGACAGGAGGACAGGAGTAATAACAGTTTTTCTGAAGAAAGACTGATTAATCCTGACACATCATCAATTTTTCTTTTTCTGTAAAACCTGGTTCTATGAGTAACTGTTAAATAGCAAATTTCTGGAACAGAACGGTTTAAAAAGTGTCTTTAAACTGATTTGCTGTGAGACTTTTTAGAAAATTGCAGGTTTATTAAAAATTCAGTGCTTTAGAGTAAAATACACTAAAAAAGAGCTTGGTAATCTAGTATCTGTTAAGAAATAAGCACGTTGAGTAACACTGCAAAGAAGCATTTACTTGAATATTCATGAATTGGGGTAAAACCTACAAATAGGTACCCACATTTGAATAAGTTGACTTATAACAGTACTTTTGTGTAAACCCAAAGCTAAAATAGTGTGAAACTCATTGACATTTGAATACAATTATTTACCTGTAAAAATATCTGAAGCTGGCAATTGTTTTATCCAGAAAAAGTGCTGAACAGTGAATAACCATGACAGGTGTCAGGGAAAAAGACTTTGATCCTTATGGGATGAAGGACTGTTTGGAAGATGCGTTAGCGCTGCTGACAGCCTCCTTACATCCATATGGTAAACGGGCGGACAGCATGAACCCAAAAGAGTTGTTGGACGATCTGATGGAGGTTGCAGAAGTTGTGACCTCTACAGAAATTACAATGTCAAGTTATGAAAAGCTGGCTAGAATTGCAATTTTGCAGAAAGAATCATTCTATGCAGTTGCTAAGAGAGCTGATGACCTTGCACTAAGGTTATACAGTGAAAAAGAGGTGGTTCAGAAAATTGAAGAACACTTCCTTCAATTTAAAAGCGAACACGAGGTCCTCATGACAAAACATTATGAACAGATGTTTCAATTACAGCAAAATGCAAATGCAGAAATTGATTCGCTGAATAGCAAAATACAGTTACTTAATGCATCACTATCTGAAGCCAGGGATGCTGAAGAGCTGTTGTCCAGTGCATGCTTTGCATTAAGACGGGATCACGACGTGAAAATGTCACAAGTTTCCCGCTGCAAAGGTGAAATAGATGTGCTTA